ACCGCAATACGGTGTATGTCGCTTAAACAACGTTCGGAACACGACACTGTTTGAAAGGGGTCCCTTTTCACTGGTGCACTGTGGTGAGGGAACAGCTGTATGTTACGAAGCATGAAAGTTCCGAAACTGAAGCTGTAGAACTAATAGAACGTGATGACACAGAAGAACTCATCCACAATATCCACATTGATCGTCACAAATATCCACTGCCCCCTGCCATCAGCTCCCGCGTCTCACACACAAACATGACTTTAGCACTAGATTTAGCTACTTTCAGACCCTTTTAGCGGCTTTTTTCCATAGAATATTCATACTGACAAACCTAGCGACTTTTTTGGATAAACCTTAGCTATGATTCAGTTGGAAGATTTCGCCAGTGCTGTCCCGTGATTGCAAGGTCTGACTTTCCCGGAGAAGTGTCACCTCTCTCAGTATCTGTTCTGTGCAGTGAGCGGCAGAGAAGCAGCGCATTCACTTGGCCGCACCGCAGCAGACTCGTCAATAAATGAGTACAAAACAGCGCTTCCTAGCAGCTGTCACAACCGCATAGCCGCTCTTTAGTGTAGGTATGCATGTTGATTTTATCAGACGATGCCGCGATTATAAATGAGTGACTCCTGGTTAACATGTATTAAAAGGGGTCGTGTTTAGTCACTATTTAGTGTGGTATTTTTTTTGACAATATTGATTCATCATGACAGTAAAATAGGGAATTCTAAGTCAATATACTGCAGTATTTCCTCTCTGTCAGTAGAAAATATGGTTAACACTCGGTCATGCATGAAAAAAAAATACCGTCATGTACCGTGAAACCGGTATAATTTAGAAAAATACCATTAGTACCATTCCGTTAATAAATAAAATTAATACCACTTGATAAAGCTGAATTACATCTCAACGGTTGATTGTTTTTGTAGGTTTTTAGATAAAAATCAGTCCCTTAATATGACATAGCTTATTTGTCCTCACTTAGTAGAGCACAGTGAGATTCCATGTTTGGCGAAAACTTCCTTTCTCTGAAACGTGACAGGATAAAGGGTGGTGCATATTTTGCAAATATCATTCGGATGGCCTACAGCCTTCAGCACAGTGACCTTGTTTGAAATGCTGCTGTTGTTCTTGGGCAGTGCTATCGCTCAAAGGGATCTCTCGCTACGCCGCGTCCTGAATCAGCATATGGAAAGAGTAGATCCATTAAGATAATCTGCAGAAGATTACCGTCTGTTTAGAAAAGCTGAGTCTGGGTCTTTTCCTGTTAGCAGCAAAAGGAGAAACCTCGGAAGTTGCGGTGACCTCCTTGGCACAAGTTCTCACAGGAAAACACAAGCACTCTTGAGTTGGCAAATGCCAGCTGTGTTTCATATCATAACTGGTGGGAAGTCTGTTGAAAACGTGTAGAATAGATTGTGTTAGATTTACATTTATTTTAACACATTATCAGGTGTTTTTATACAAAGCGACTTGCATTGTATTCAAAGTACACATTTTGTCAATTCATGCATTCCCTAAGAGTCGAAACTATGACCTTGGTGATGCAAGCACTTTGAGCTACAGGACGTAAATACAACATTTAAAGCTGTTTTTGACAGTAATGCCCCACGCTGGCTAATATGATGTTTCTTCTTATTTGTAACTTGTTTTTCTTGTTTGAAACCAATTAAGTAGATGGATTTAGTAGACATGCAATCCTCTCGTTTCTTCTGCCATTTTCTACTAGGGCTGATTATTCAGTTGCGTTGTGTTTTTTTTATATATATATGTATGTATGTATGTGTTTATTATATTTATATAAAAGCACAGCTTTCTGCTAGTACGCTGAGATCATCTCATGGACGCAAAGGCTGTTAATCACTCCAAACACATTATCAGAGGTTGTCAGCTATGCAGTTTTGGCAAGATCTGCCATTCTTTATAAATGAGGGTATTTAAGCACTGATTAATCATATCAAGAGTGCTTACTGGCCATTCTCCCAGATGGTGCTGGCACCAAGTAACAAATTTCCTCATCCTGAGACGTCATATCAGCCATCATCATCATCATTCACGCCTCGTTTGTCTCAGATGAGATCCTGCCTCACGTTTCCCGTTGTTGTATTGAACGGTTTTGGGTTTGAGTTGGACTTGACCAAAAGTGATGACAGTGATTCGCCTAGTTATGATGACTGATTCATTTAAGGTGATGATTCATTGTAAAACAGTTATTTCAGTGACCCTGGTAAGTGTTAAAGGGTTATAGTTCACCCAAAAATGAAAATTATCATTATTTACTCATTAATTACTCACACTCGTGTTGTTCGAAACCCGTAAGAACTTCGTTCATCTTCGGAACACAATTTAAGATATTTTTTATCAAATATGAGGGCTCTCTGACCCTCCCATAGACCACAAGGTAACTACCACGTACAAGGTCCAGAAAAGTATCAAGATAATCGACAAAGTAGTCCGTGTGACATCAGTGGCTCAACTGTAAAGTTACGAAGCTACCAGAATAATTTTTTGCGTAAAGAAAACAAAAATAACAACTTTATTCCACATTTTCATCTCTACTGCGTCACTTGTGGAGGTGCGTTCACGACAGTATCATGACGCGAACGTGTTGATATTTTCATCTTGCTATGCAATGGCCAAAGATCCATCAGCTGGTCGACTATCATGAACAATCCCTGGTTTTGAGGGCAGACTGACTGCTTAGAAGGGTGTGTTAACTGGTGATCTAATTACCATGGCCTATGTCTAGTAAACAAGAGCTGTGAAGCATACTTGTTGTTCTATTGCATGATTACACTATTACCCTATAGCCTATTACCCTAACCTAGATTTCAACTGGTGAATTGTTATAATTGATGTAATGATAAAATTGGTCTAATTTAGCAAATGATGAGGCAAACTTTTGTTACCATATCCTGACTGGGGAAATTTAGATTGGAAATGGCAGAGTGACTGACATAAATGACCAGCCAGGCAGAATTTATTTGATCAAAATACAGCAAAAACAGTAATATTGTGAAATACAATTTAATATAAGTTTTCTATCTGAATATATGTTAAATATAATTTGTTCCTGTGATAGCAAAGCTGACTTTTTAGCAGCCATTCCTTCAATATTCAGAGTCACATGATCCTTCAGAAATCGACTACTTCACAAACATGAAACAAATTTTAATATACAGCTGTATTGATTGATATCTTGTGTATTTGTTAACAGTTGCATCAAACAAACTTTTAAACGCACTGTCACAATTGTCAGTCCACAACTTCTAGTTCTTCTTTAGACTGTGTCAATAGATCACAAGTGGTGTTATTAGTGAAAACACAACTTTGTTTCCAGGTGGTCTGATAAACCTCTCACCTGAACATTCGCTGGAATCTTCTGAGCCTAATAAGCCCAAAGAATTATCTGGAGTCAAACAATCAGGCTTTGTGTTTTAAAGTAAATGCGCTGAGCAATGATGCCCTTTTAGCATTACAGTCTGTGCTTTTAAGACCTGCTCGCTTTTCCAGTCTGACTCGCTGGGCCCTTTTGAGCCAGCACAATGGTTTTCCTAGCCCTCCTCTGATCACACACTGTGAGCTTGACGGACAGCTTGGCACAGGTTGAAAGCCGTATGGAAACTATGTGATTTGGGAGATTTGAAATGCTTGCATGTGAAGAGGGGTTCAGTGAGTCCATGCAGATTAACTGATTGGATACCAGGCCAAACCCATCATGGGTGTCTCCATTTGACCGATTCCCCCGCTAATCTGGCGGGACCAGAATTGGGTCGGTTTTTGAGGAATGTGAGTGCAGACAATCTTAAAGTGCTTAATGCCTGTGTGGTTGTCACAACAAGATTGCCAGAGTGAAGTGCGTGTCTTAACTGAGAATAGCTCTGACCTCATTCTACATAAAACTTCCCCTGCAGGTTACTTGTCACGTGAGTTGCAGCGGGAGACTCGGTTTAGAGCGACCCACGCACCATTTTCAATTTTAATAAAAGGGGAAGTGTTATGAGGTGCCTTTGATTTGTCTTAGTCATATTTTGAATTAAAAAGAGTCATTGTCGGGAAAATGAAACTGAAATGAACAGTAAAGTAGGTCATTTATATATGTACCAACATGTTGTTTTTTTTTCATTTATGACGGGTATTATCAAGGTAGAACATTTATTTATAGCAGAATTATATGTAGAATAATTTTTTTCAGTTTAACCCTTTACCTAATTTGGCGTTCAAAAATGACTGGCCTTTTTAAAATTGCTTGCAAATCTCTCTATGCTATTATCACCAAATCATGGATTCAGTCTTTTTATCAACTTGCTTGCTTTCAATTAGCACAGCTTTTGTATTTCTTTTGGGACTAATTGATAGTAGGCCTCATTGATCTGAACTTGTGCACTTCCGTTTTGGGGTAAATAAACAAATAAACAATCAATTAATAAATAAAATAAAAAAACATTATTTGTGGATTATTTTGTCCATTTTCATTCAATACAGAAGTTCAGATCAAAAAGAAATACAAACTCCTTGCTAACTGAAAGAATACAAGTTGATAAAAAAAGATTGAATCCAATATTTGGTTATAATTTGGAAGTTAGTGTTGTCAATAGAATAGAATTGCAGTCTCAAAATGAAACAATGTAAATGTTAAAATTCTGGTAGCCATTTAATAAATATCTAAGTTAACATGTTAATTTTGGTAGCCCTAAAACATTTTGTAAAATCTTTTTTCCAAAAGATTTTTTTTGTGATTTGTTTTAGAGGCTAAAGCCTTTCAAACTATACTGTATTTGTTAGCATGCGCAAACACAGGTTCTCGACATGAGCTCTAGAAGGTTTCAGCTTTGTCCAGTGTCTAGGCTATTTCTCTCCAGAAGTTATAACCGAAAAATGTCTTGATTCTCATTTAAACTGGCGTTGCGGGTATCTCTTAATATTCAGAACCAGAGAAAGCCATAATGATAATGTCACTTAAATAACAGATTATTTGGGTGGCTAATTTTTTCTTCTCATCTCTTGCGTAGTCTATCCTGCTGCTGGGCAGTGTAGCTCTGGCATGCTTGGCCTTGGACCTCCTCTTCCTCCTCATCTACTCCTGCTGGCTGTGCTGCCGCCGTAAGAAGAGCGATGAGCAGCCAAACGCAGACTGCTGCTGCACCGCCTGGTGCGTCATCATTGCCACCCTCATCTGCAGGTGAGTCTGAATGCATTCTTCCTCATATCAGCGGATCGTTCAGGCAGAAGATGACAACTGTAGTCAGAGTCTCCAGAGAGATGCTTTTATCAAATGATCCCCAGCTGGAAAAATGTCATTCTGTCTGTTAGAGTGTAAAGGAAGGTGTGTATTATCTGAAGGGCTGCAGGGTTTAATTTCTGGAAGGGAAGTCATTTCTGTACTAATCTCTGTAGTTCATTTGGAGCTCTCTCTGGGGTTCAATATGGCTGTGTTAACAGCTCTGATTCCTCTAGCTGCAGGCGTGGGGTTATTTCTACCTGTAGCCCCAAAACTCCTCAGTGGCAAGGGCTAATGTAAGGATTATCCAAATGAAAATGTCCACTGTATGAATATGAAAGTTCATCAGGCCAGAAACTAATTGTATTGCAGTACTGAAATGCTTAGCCAATACTGTCCTGTTTTTAGTGCGTTACTTTGGCGGCAGTTTCAACATTTTGCACTCATTGGCTTCAGGAGAAGATATTTTGAGAAATGCTGGTAGCCAAACAGTTTTGGTTACAATAGACAATGAGAGACATTTCTCAAAATATCTTCTTTTATGTTTCGCACAAGCAAGGAATTTATACAGGTTTGGAATGACATGGTTATGAATAAATGATGACTGAATTTTTCATTTTTACATGAACTACCCTTTTAAGGTATTATCAGTGCCCAGATTTTGTTTATCAGTCAATCTGGTAAAGAAGTTAGTAAGTGGTAAGAAGGTTGATGAGATGAGTGCTTTTGATGAAGAACTAATCACTGGAATTGCCAGATTAATGGCTTCAGAGTTTGAGTAGGAAGTGAACTAGATATCCATGAGACATTCAGTTTCTTATTCAGGCAGCTGAACTTGAACCAAATTGCTTGCCGGGATTCTCTTCAGACTGTTGCTCTGGAACCACAGATAAACCGTGATTTCGTTTGAGTTTTCCTTCTTTTCTTCACTTTCCTTTGCTTTTAAATAACTTGTAAAAGCGCCATGCGCATTTTACTTTCATTTTCAAATTAGCCGCAATTTGGCGTTGATTCAATTCAAGCAAAAAAAAACAAAACAAACAACACAATACAACGTCAAACTCATAGAACTTTTATTAACAAAACAAATAAAAATACACCATGCTATATGCCTAATATAAAATAACAAATTACTTGGGCTACACAGTTAAAATAGGTATACAAAAATGAAAATCAGCAAACATTGTGGAACCAAATAAATAAGAAACATGGAACGTTTATTAGCAAAACGAATAAGAAAGCTTGGAGGCACGGCATACACCTTGATGTAAAATAAAATACACAGTTTAAATAGGTATACAAAAATGAAAATCAGCTAACACTGTGGAACCAAATAAATAAGAAATGAATATTTTTAAACAAAACTTCCAAAATCACTTTAGATAAATGGCAAAAGGCTTTTCAAAATCCAAAATATTGCCAAACAGGCGCTTTTGCATTTTGTTTCGAAACTAAATCTTCCGCCATAGTCTTGTCTGTCTCACCTCACCATTCTTGTCAGTCAGCTCGACTCGCTCCTCACTTGATAAATGAAATCTGACTCCTGCTCCTGATCTGTGATGCCACTGTTGTTCAGCACGCTGCATTGAGCAGCCGCTTTGGTTTTTAATTGTGTCTGTTCTCTAACGGAACTAAAGGATTTTTATTACTATAAAAACAAAATCATAACGAAGGTGGGGGGCGGTGCCGTTTTGGGCAAATGACATTACTGGTAAACACTGACTTTCGCAGCAAGCTTCCGGTGAGAAGTGATGAACATGGAAATGCAGAGGAGAGAGCAAAACAAAACGCCAGTCATGAATTAGAAGTACAAAACGAGGAAAAATGACAGGATTTTGATACGCATGTACGACAGTTAGCGGAAGCTAGAGATTGCGGTTTCTAAAGTTTTAAATATGGATGTTTTTCTTACACAAACACTTCACTTGACTTCAGAAGGCCTTTATTAATGCCACGGAGCCGTGTGGAGCACTTTTTATGATGGATGGATGCACTTTATTGGACTTAAAAATCTCGACTACCATTCACTGCCACATGCTTGTAAGAGCCAGGACATTTTTTTAATATAACTCCTATTGTATTCGCCTGAAAGAAGAAAATCTTATACATTAAGGGTGAGTAAATCATGGGATAATTTAAATTTGTGGGTGAACTATCCATTTAAATGTGTTTTTCTTAGCTTTTGGCCAATTATGTCTTAGTAGGGCTGTCAAAAAAAAATGGAATTTCGAATATTTGGCGCAATTAAAATTAAAATCCACATTCGAATGCAAAAACGTTTCATTCGAATTTTAGGTGTGCATCAGGCAGCAGCCTTATCAGTGGCGCACGAAATGCGATAATGTAAATGTCATTGCATTGTAATGTTTTTCATAGCTTATCCAGTTGAAGCCACTAGATTGCTGAGGTGAAACATTGACTGTTTCATTCCTGGTGTGTTATAATGTCGATGATGACAAAGTGCTGAGCTGCAGAATAAAGAACTTCAGACACAACCTTCTGTATGGTGCTGTTGCTATAATGCATGAAACCACAAAGAGTGTTTCTGCTGTCCTAAACTCTAGTTTTCCTTCATTGTCTTCAGAATCAACCGTTGTGTTTTTTTAAAGTGCATTATAATCCATTAAAATTCAAGATGTCAAGATGTTTCTTTGAGTGAATGAAAACCAGTGGAAGGATTCATAAACAATCAGATTGAATAAGTAATGCTTGCTTTTGCTATGATGATGTTTGACACAATGTGAATGAAAATAATTTGGTGGGAAAGTTGAGGCTCGGCTATTGTCCAGTCTGACATCCTGTCTCAAATAAACTCTGTTGCTATGGCAGCATCTTTCCCGGCAATTCCTAACTTACGGTTTTTGGCATTACAGCCATCATCAAGGACTCACAAAAAAGACCACCACCACCCCCCACATCTCATGACTGATCCTCCTGTTTTTTCCATGTTAACGTGCGCTCGCTCTTCAGGGAAGTCTGTCTGTGATGGTGTCAGGATGAGAGAGGGCCTGCTGTGTGGTTTTGTGAGTCTCTGTTCTTCAGTGTATGTTGATGACAGGTGTGAACTTTATGGTCACTATGTGTTACACACCAAGCAGTAAATCCTGTCTTCAGTACGGTCCATTTTTTCCCCCCAGCTCGGAAGTTGTAAAGAGCTCAAAGACGAGGCAAAAAAACTCTAAGGAGTGTTGCTGTCTCTTCTTATCTTCTCTAAAGCCACCATGGAAGCAAACTTGACCTTACTAGTTACTTAATACATATGCTGGTCTTATTTAGATTATATATCAGTGCACATTAAAACAATATATATAATATAAAACAAAATGTGAATCAATAAAAATAAGTTTACAGAAAGTAAATTGCATCCGTTTTAGACCAACATTGATGATGATGTTTGTTTGTTTATTTATTTATTTATTTTCGGTTTGCTGCTTTTTAGTTTGGTTCGTTTTGATTTGGTATTAGTTTGCTTTGCTTTGGTTTGTTTTGGTTTCTTTAGTTTTAGTTTTGTTTAGATTTTTAGTTTTTGTGGGGGAAAGTGATTCCATGTGGAACTTGTTTAATCCATGCGGAGTTAGTCTCACACATCCTCACTCTGTCTGTCAGTCTCGCACTGTTAACTCTTTACCTAAATCAGTTACTAAAACTCTTCTCTCTCAGTTTTTCTCTGTCTCATGCTTTCTGCTGCGAGTTTGCACGTTGAGCAAGCATCCTCCCTTCTGTGAAAGTTTATCAGTGCACATCTGGTCCTGTGTGGAAGTGGAAATATGGAGAACACTTTCTCTGTCATGTTCACAGGCTCCTTGCTGACTCCTCCCTGTGGGGAGGAAGATGAGCCCATTTTCAACACAAACACCATTAATAATCATCACACCTGCGAGGGACATGACTCAGGATTTCTCATAATGTGATATTAATATTCTCATAATGCATGCCTGCAGCCAGTAATGCTTTAGGCGGGCTTCATTCTCACTTTTAAGTGGTACACTTTAAGTCTAGGATGAAATTTTTCTTTTTATAGTGATAATTATTTACGAATGATTGTGATGGTTATCTTGTTGTTCAGCTGATGATGAGTTAATCTGGATTTTTCTTTTTAGTTTTGATATTTTTTTTAGAGGTGGTGTTTTGATTTGCATGCGCACAGCATGATGTGATTTAGCTGTTAGGTAGTTTGCATAGTAAATCATCTCAGAAAAGTTGCTTCGTTAAATTCATCACCTACTTCTAAAGCCATACACCTTAAAATAGATGTCTTCGGCCATTACGTTATGCTTCCACCACAATGTTTGCTTTTTAAAGAAGACGTGTCAAGAACAAAGTTGTTAAAAATGTTTTAAATGTGTCTCGACCCTGTGCCATTCCATTCCACTCATTTATAGATTGATAAACATCCTGTAATATGTAAACATACTCTAAGAAATGTCTAATTCGCTTCAGGTGAACCTGAAACCATCATGAAACCATCAACCACCATCTAGTTGATTTTGAAATAATATTATAATATTACATTATTATTATTATTATTATTATTATAATTGTAATATCATTACATATGTGATGCGATCTAGGAAAACCCAACACAATGGTGAAATTGTCCTTTTTTTCATCTTGTTGTTCAGCTGATGATGAGTTAATCTGGATTTTTCTTTTTAGTTTTGATATTTTTTTTAGAGGTGGTGTTTTGATTTGCATGCGCACAGCATGATGTGATTTAGCTGTTAGGTAGTTTGCATAGTAAATCATCTCAGAAAAGTTGCTTTGTTAAATTCATCACCTACTTCTAAAGCCATACACCTTAAAATAGATGTCTTCGGCCATTACGTTATGCTTCCACCACAATGTTTGCTTTTTAAAGAAGACGTGTCAAGAACAAAGTTGTTAAAAATGTTTTAAATGTGTCTTGACCCTGTGCCATTCCATTCCACTCATTTATAGATTGATAAACATCCTGTAATATGTAAACATACTCTAAGAAATGTCTAATTGGCTTCAGGTGAACCTGAAACCATCATGAAACCATCAACCACCATCTAGTTGATTTTGAAATAATATTATAATATTACATTATTATTATTATTATTATTATAATTGTAATATCATTACATATGTGATGCGATCTAGGAAAACCCAACACAATGGTGAAATTGTCCTTTTTTTAGGTTTTGATGCCATAACCAAAACGTAGTGAGCAGCTTCAGGCAGTATCTTTGCTGACAATATAACATTGGGTAATGTGACCCTGTGAAAAATAAATACTAAAATGTATTTGAAATACATTTCGTTAATGCAAGGTATACTACAAATACATTTTACATATTTATGCACTTAATAAAAATACCCTGCAATTTGGTGTACTAAACTGGTATACTTAAAGGGGTCATATGATGCTTTTTTAAAGATCATTATTTGGTGTAACAGAATATGTTGACATGCTTTAATGTTCAAAAAACACATTATTTTTCAAATACTGTACATTATTGTAGGTCCTCTATGCCCCGCCTCTCTCAAACGCTTCGTTTTCTACAAAGTCCCTCCTTCCGACAAGCGCAGTCTGCTCTGATTGGCCAGCTGACCCAGTGCATTGCGATTGGCCGAACACCACAAGCACTCGTCAGAAATGTAACGCCCCTTACTATAATCACCAGCTTCATCTTTCAAAATAAATGTAAAGACAGTAAATCAGCTGACCCAGTGCATTGTGATTGGCCGAACAACGCAAGCACTTGTCGGAAATGTAACGCCCCTTACCATAATCGCGAGCGTCATCTTTCAAAATAAATGTAACGACAGAGCCCGAAAGGGGAACAGAGTCCTGTGACAGACACAATGATGAAGCTTGTATCTGTTTGCAGTACACAAGCCACGGTTAAGACAGCTGACTCCTGTGATGTGATGTGATGTGACTCTCTCTCTCTCTCTCTCTCGCTTGCGCTCGCTCGCGCACACACGATGCGCAAAACTCCGCATTTGAACAGTCAATAGCAAATACTTAAACTAATAACAAAACAGTAGCTGATTCTAAAACACATTTTAGGCTTAATATTAAGAAATGTGCATTGTGCACAAGTAGTAGCCTACTCCAAATAAAGTTTAATTAAAATGTTTATATCAGTTAGGCTTGATCGATATGTCAGTAAATGTTAACTATTCTTAGTATGAAATGGATGTATTTTAAATTGTTTTTTTACTAGGGGAATATTGCGATAATGTCAATAGTTATCTTTATAGATAAAACTATAAGATAAAAGAAATATAAGATTTCACTACCATTTTTGTCTCACTAGAATAAGCTCTTTTATAAGCACTCCTGTATGTGTAATTAATCTGAATGTCTCAAAGGTTTCTATTTACATATTTTTTTTAGCGCTGAGCATTGTAACCAATAACAGACATTCATCAAATTATTTTCTGCTAGCTACACAGTTACATTTTTAGATTGAGAACCATATTTAAATGTGGGATTGAATTTAAAAATGCTTTAAATAACTGTGACAACTATAGCAATGGAGCGATCAAAAATCTGTGCATTAAGTTTTGCAAGCTAATAGACCTGACATTTGTTCTGTCATGTCATGTGTTTTTTTTTGTTTTTTTAATAAATTATATATTTTTGCAAGAAGATTGCACTTTTTGTATAACTCTCTCTTTCTGTGTATTTATATGTATGTTTTTGTTTTTGTTTTTTGGTAACTATAGCTGTTGTATACAGATATACAACACCAAAGGCCGCTCACTCTTTGGGTACAGTGACCAGACTAGTCTCGTCTTAGCTGTGTGACACTCCACTTATCCAAATCCCCATTGATTCGGGACGCTGTGCTTTAGGGGGAAGGGCGCACCAGGACGAGCATGAGCAATGAGATTGCTCAGCGTGATCGGTCCAGTCAGTGGAGTGTTATTCTCTAAGGAGCATTTAACCCCATTCACATTGATCAACAATCACAGGTCATTACTTATTATATGTTATACAACTCAAGTCTGCTTCTTAGCATTAGGGAGCGCTGGGATAGATTTTGATGAGTCATGTGGCTTATTTTTGTTATTTGTTGTTTGCAGTATGTCTGTATGGACCCATGAGAGTTGTGGCCCAGAATAGAGACTGTCTGACAGACTGAGCTTTCTTTAATACAGGACAGCAGTGATATGGGACCACCAAAGGCCACAGCTGTGGGAACATTGATTGATCTGTCCTCGGGTCATATCTTGCCTTAGAGCCTACAATCACTTTCCCTTCTCTCGGTATAACTATTATCGGAGATGTCTCTTGTATGGTTTGATGTATCTGACCCTATAAACCTCACAGCTGCCCTTTTTTCCCCTTTTTTTTTTTAAGCTGACAGTTTTATAGCTGACAGGCTTGTTTGTCCTACCCATACCTTGTATATGGGTACATACCATATATATATATATATATAAGATCTTCCATTTAAACAATCAGAACACTACCTTACACAAATAATAGTCCTGAAGTATTAATTTATTTTTGCTGCCTTGGGAAACACAGTGAACCTCTGCTTCTTACAAACAGATAAATTCTTAGTGAACTCTTTGCATAGTTCTGTAGTAGTGTAAACACAAGTAGCATTATAATTTGTTTTAATACAAACAACACTGGAAAAGAAATGGCCCTCATATCACTCTCTAACCATTTATGTTGTGCTATGAGAGATTAGACTGTTTTTGTGTATTTAGTTAACTTTGCTCATGCAGATTATCCACCAGATTTACCGTGTAGCAGGAATGCTGGGAACTCCACTGAGACCTCTCTAATGGGTCACATGACCATGGTTTCGGGGGGACGGGCGAGGTGACATCTGCTTCCTGATCTGCACATTCGTGCCGCAACACGCCCCGTCTGAACAGCACAGCGCATGGAGAATAAAACCAACACACCACGTCATCTTAGCACAACTAACTGCATGTTTACAAAATATAGAGCTAGTTTGAGAGACTCTCACTCAAGTGAGTTCCTGCGTAGTGCTTCAGCGACAATGGGTTCTTCAGGTGTTATTGTGAAATCTTAATACTTAGACTTTGGCCCATTCGCGAAGCAAATGATAAGACTGGCAAATGCACGGAATGTGTCTTAAATGTACTCTGGCTGAGAGCCGTGGGGCTTTTCCTGCAGTGAATAGCTCTTTGTTTAGCCGCAGAACCCCCTTAAGCGGGGTGGCTGCTGATTGTAGCTGCCGTTGAATGCTTTACAATGGAGTTGGGAGACATACTTGAGCGAGAGAGGGTGGGGAATGGGAATGAGTGGGATTGAAAGCCCCGTCGGCGGGTTGTGCTTTTCTGCCACCTGGTGGTGAGGCAACAAGTTCAAGTCGGATGTGTTGGTGGTCATATCTCTGGTGCAGGTGGTCTGTACATTGCTGTGAACGGCCTCAGTGGGTTTGTGGGGCAGCCGTTTGTTTGTGACCTGATTCTCTGGTTGGTCAAAGCTGTTAGCGCAATCGATTCATTTTCAGTCTTCTCCCAGCACTGTTCTTGTAGTCCAACAGTCTGAGTCAATGTTGTGTTGAGTTTCACAGAGTGCTATCGATCATCTGACCACTAGTTACGCTTGTGGTTCTCACATGTGCACAGAATAAATGGACTAAAAGCATTTTGTTAGTTGCAAATTGTACAAATGTATAAAGTGAGTAGTCATTACGTTAACATTTAGGGCTCTTATTGCATTCCCTTGGAGCAAAGGGCTATTTGTTTTATTCACAGGTTTGCAATTATAAGGCTTGAACCAGCATGCTTCAGGTTATATGTAATGCCATATGTAATGCAATATTGTTCAGAATTCATTTCTCTCAGACAATACTAAACTCTTTCCTATTTACTACCCATCAAATTTCCATATCAAGTGGATTTAAAATATTTTAAAGCTCAATCTTTTTTTATTTATTCTGTATTTGTTTACATACACTACTGTTAAAAGTTTGTCATCTATAAGATTTTTGTTTTTGAAAGGCTGCATTTATTTGATCAAAAATACAGTAAAATCTGTAATTTTGTGAAACAACATTACAAATTCATTTGTATGTGTTAATATATTAGTCATTACTCCATTCTTTAGTGTCACGTGATCCTTCAGAAATCATTCTAATATGCTGATTTGATGCTTAAGAAGCCTTTTATCAATGTTAAAAACAGTTGTGCTACTTAATATTTTTGTCTAAACCAGGATGCATTTTTTTCAGGATTCTTTGAATAGAAAGTTCAAAAGAACAGCATATATTGTATAATTGTCTGTAATTTGATCAATTTTATGTCTTTACGGAGTAAAAGTTAAAATAATTTTAACAGTATGCATATAGTGTATTTATGGTTATTACAAAAATACACACAAGATGAATTGATTATTTTTAGTATTTTATTATAATTAGTTTCAAATCTTTACATGTACTCCTGAAACATTCCTAACTACTCCTTTTTAGAAATGAGTGCTGTAAATCAGTGTCCTGAATGATCTGTGAGAATTCACTCTTATTAAATAAGTTATTCATGTGTGTTCAGTTGTGTTATGAGGACAATAGAGTCTGAATTAGATGCTTCTCTGTGTCTTCTGCCGGCTGTGTGCAGGGGTTTTGGGACATTACTGACCTATTCCTCAGGGTTACCACGGCTCTGCTGAAGGCTTCCATTCCTCTTCATGCCTCTCTCTTTGTCTCCTTACAGCGCTGGCATTGCTGTTGGTTTCTACGGGAATGGCGAAACCTGTGATGGCGTGAATCGGCTTACCTACTCCCTCCGCCATGCCAATCGCACTGTGTCAGGAGTGGACAGACTGGTGAGGCACTGATGCACACTGGGTTATGTTCACATAGTGCTCCATCTCCCAAAAAACACACCAGAGCGTGACAATCTCCGTGACATATTTATATGTTATACTGTATTATCTGTAGCTCATGAGAAAAGAACTTGCAAATGTGTGTGTCTGTAGGTGTCAGAAAGTACATCAGCTCAGAGCCAGACTGTGGACGAGAACCTTCAGCTACTAAAGGACCAGTATGCAAAGCACACAGACTACCTGTCCATCGTACAGAAACTCCAGGATCAGCGGAGTGAGCTGGTTCATCAGATGACTGACATTCCCTTTTGGAGCGATCTCAGCATCTCCCTGGAGGATCTGGCAACCCAGATTGAACTATATGACTGGTACCGGTATGTACTTTGATTTCTTTCACAATGAATGGCAATATCACTGAAAGACATATGTAGGGATGGCAAACATTCTAGTTCAGTACCTAATCAATTCTAAAATTTAAAAGAGAATATAGATTTCAGTACTCAAGTTCAAGTATATGAACATTATTTATTTTTAATAAAGGAAAATCTATATATATTTTTTTTATTATAAAACATTTGCAAAAAAGAAGAAATACTTGTTTACCTACGTGTCATGTGACCATTAAGTGACCTCAGAGAACTGTGAACATATGTGAGAGTGTTATTAAAATATTAACTTAAAATATAAGGGTTGCTTCAATAAGTAAACTTATTTGGTAAAAGAGATTTGGCTGACAAAAAAAATACATTTAGGAATCCCTTATACTGGTAACTGAAATGTTAGTGTTGCGACAACCCTAGAAATTTTTCTGGCAGACATTTTGAAATGTACTTAAGTCTGTTTAAAGGTGTAAAACCTTTCTAACACCCAAAAAAAGTCTCGGGCGAAAAAGAAAAAGTGCTCAAAGGATTTCTCTGTATCGCATAAGTTGTGAACAGTGCTCTCTTAGAGAGAATAGAAATTAGTATTCTGTTCACTCGCTGCCTCTTTCCACCTCTCGTCAGCCATTTACTTTTCTCTCTGAAAGAAATTGCTTTGGGGTCTGTTTGTTTGCCTAAAAAGACAAATAAGTTTAATTTCAGGCTTCCAAACAGGATAAAGCCAGAAAACCAAATAATTTTGGCTTTGATCTCAAAAAATTACCTTTTCTGAAAATGTAAATGGATCACTGAAGCTTACTGAAGAAAAGAAAACAATCAGCGATTTTAAATAACAATAAGAAACTAAATACAAGCAAAAGTACAAAATAGAACACTACAGTAGAACACATAAAAAATGCTACATGCATTGTATAAAGTAATCGCATGTATAAAAAAAAAAATGCATATTCTTCACCGTCTAAATTAAATATATATTTCTTATTATTAAAGTTACAAAAGTGATTTAGAGCAGTGAGAAATTCTCTCTCTTGTTGTTTGATTAACATGAATGACAGACAGCAGGAATATTAGACTGCTGTCACTTTAAGAGCTGCCCAGATCCAATATACTGTCACACATGTGTCTTCTTTCTCAGCTGTTTGCTTTCACTTAAGACCTAAGTTACTGTTTACGAGGATACTTGCAAAGACGGGCATTTGACACATACAAGTGTGTATTTAACTGTTCAATGCCAATAAAGCGGCAAAAATAACTTTCCCACGCTCTATTAGCACCATCTTTACGTGCGCAAGCCTCTCTGACAGTGCTCAGAAAAAGCGTGCATATAGTGAAATGAAATATACAAGAGACAACAGATCTGTGAAACATCTTATACTATTTGTTAATGACTTGTTCGTGTTTCTTAAAGTGTTACCATTTTTGAGTACATTGTCGTACAGTGTCTGTTACATTTGATTGTGGGTTTTGCTGTGTTTGTAATGTTAATGTGTTGTTGTCTTTAGGTGGCTGGGCTACCTGGGTCTGCTGCTGTTTGATGTACTCATTTGCTTGCTGGTGCTCTTCGGCCTTATCCGCAACTCCAAAGGAACTCTGATTGGGTAAGGCTCGACATATGGGTGTGTCTTTGGGTCATGTGTGGTACACCAGGGTAAATAGAGCTTACAGAAACTTGCAAATGACCAGCAATATTTGATCTGCTGACCCACAAAGGTCTTTCAGTTGTCAGGGAGCCATCCACTCGAGGTACACCAGGTTGATTTATGAAGTGTTAGTTATGCTTTTCTGTTTTAGCTCCAACAGAGAAATTATAAAGTATCTTCCGCTCTGACCCCGCCCCCCACACACACACACCCTCTGGGAAGTTTTAAATCAGAGATGGCACAGAAAAACAGAAAAACAACTGTGTGACAAGCTCTCCACAGTGCCTGAACAACAAAATAGCTCGAAAAACAGACACATTAGCACTGTTCCAAAACCGCTCTATATAGAAAGTAACTTTCTGCCACACCACCTCATATACCCCCGGTTTCACAGACAAGGCTTAAGCTAGTCCCAGACTAAAATGCATGTTTGAGCTGTCTCAACTGAAAATATCTTGCTCTGACATATCTTAAAATATGTCAGTGTCATTGATCTGTGTCAAGATGCTAAGGCATTTTTGTAAAATTTGCTTAAATATCTTAATTGAACTAAGGTCTAGTCCTGGCTTAAGCTAAGCCCCGTTTGTGAAACCAGGCCTTAAAGTGCTAAGAGACTCACCAGTAAGAGTATCCCAATCGGTGTGCTTATGCACTCTTCTGTGCTCTTTTGTAGTGTGTTGACACTGAAAATTCCAAAAAGAAAAAATGCACGTTTATGCTGGATGACAAAAATAACCGTATAAAATTCATACACGAGACACTATAGGGCAAACTGGATACTATTTAATTTGGGGCGCAACTAGAGATGTCACAAAGCTAACAATGCAATGTGTCCACCCATCTTTTCAGCAGCCTTGGTTCCAGTAGTATTTTTCCTGTTCATTTTTCCCCATAAGTATTTTTAAAAAAAAAAGTATTTCTTTGTAAGCCATGAACCAAACCAACCATCTAAGAGGTAAGTCACAACATTACAAATTTTGCCTTTTTGTTGCCCAACTCTGTATGTTTTCCATGAATCATTTTATCGGACTGTCCAGGTTTTAGAATTTTTATCCTGTATAAATCTAAAGGTCTTGTATAATCTTGACTGCTATATTTTTAATTTTGGTTTTTATTTTATTGTATTTGTTCTTTTTTTCAGTTTTTGCAATTTAGCCTCAGATGCTGACATTGCCTTAAAATCCAATACTGCCACTGTCGTTTTGTCTGATTTTCAAATACTTTTCTGCTTCAAATCAAAGGTACAAAACTGTGTACCGTGTTTTTGTGCGATTTGCTTGTCAGTTCTCTGGAATTCCGCTCTTGAACATGATTATTTTAAAAAGAGTTTTAAAAAATAAGTTAAAATGATGCTGATGGCTTCAACAAAGGCATTTACCATTGATTAACAACTTCATAGCTCACAGTAGGTCTGTCTTTAAAGGTCTATAAGTTATTGTTAAAAATCAATTCCCCTATGGAGAAAATAAATGGATTTTTACTTCTGGAACCCCACTGTTGCATTCTGCACACAAACATTGGGTAAAATGTATATTTTTATTAGATGGAATGTTTTTATTGAGATATATACTGTATATAGATTTATAAATGAAGTGAAGTGACATGTGGCCAAGTATGGTTACCCATACTCGGAATTAGTGCTCTGCATTTATCCCATCCAAAGTGCACACACACACCCGGAGCAGTGGGCAGCCATTTTTTTTGCTGTGGCGCCCGGGGAGCAGTTGGGGGTTCGGTGCCTTGCTCAAGGGCATTTCAGTTGTGGTATTAAAGGTGGGAGAGATTCTAGGTTGCATTCTCATTGAAGCATACATGCTGTGTTGCCTTAGCTGTCTTGTGTGGCATGCCTATCCTTTGAAACAGCCTTTGTGTTGGAAGTGTGTAGCTTAAAATGCCGTCTGGGTAGGTAGGCGGCATACTAGATTTTGGAACAGTGCTATTGTGTGTAAGTAAGCGAGATATTCTCTGGAAGGTCTGTTCAGTTGTATGTTGGTTTCCTATGTGTGCTGGAGTACCTCAGGGACATGTTGTGGGGCCAATCATGTTCAGTCATTTATAGATGGTGCACAACTACTTCCACCAGACGTGCCAAAAACACAGTGTTATGGATAGTCGTTTAACGTGCTGTGTCTTATGTATCTAACGTTTCGCATTCACATTATATAGCGAAAAGGCCGGTTTGACTTTTGGCCGTGTTGGAAGATAAATGTCAGGATATTGATTTGCTCTGCAATAAAAGTTGCTACTTGCTAAAAGCGTGAAATCTTTAGGTTGCCATAGTTCAATCCTGACTCATGGCATTTCATGATACTACTTGACTTGGCATTTATTTAAAGGTACAGATGGAAGCATATTTTTTAATTAATGTACTCATCACCAAAGAATTCCCTTCAGTGTCTGACTGTTTTATCTGGAACATGTTGATTTTAGTTATGCTGCAAACAGTTTTTTTTTTTTTAAGAATTCAGATTTTTTTTTCTTTTTTCCTCCCAATAAAATAAAATAAGCATCCTTGAATAAATTTATATAAAGAAATTATATTTTAAAATATAAATGATTAACTATTTTATTTAAGTTTAACATATTGCAGATTAGCAGACTGTAAAAAAATAAATAACAATTATTTTTAATTTGTGTATATATGCTAATTAAAATAATAAATAAATAAATATTGTATTTGATTTTATATATTCACACAGAGCGAGATAGAGAGAGAGATAAATAAATTATATTTAAAACATAAGGAAATAACTCTTTTAATTAAATTTAACATTGCAGACTGTAAAAAATAAATGACAAATATATTTTTTAATTAGCATATATATGCTAATTAAAAATAAATAATATAAATAAATATTTATTGTATTTTATTTCATATATGTTTACAGTCTGCTAATCTACAATATGTTAAATATGTTATGCTCAAACGTGGGCATTAGATATGAAGGTGAGCAGATATTTTTGTGAGGCTCGAAATATAACGTGCTGTATGGATGATAGCAATCCATGTGTGCTTATTACTTAATGGCTTTGAATCCCACTGTTGCTTCTATAATTTTACCACCATTAAATTCATATTATAGATGAAAGGTCTGAAAATTGTAGTGGGATGAAAGGTTTTTCTAAGCAGAAAAGCCCAGTTGAGGGGATTCCGACCTTTTAAAAGATGATAATATGTGTACACTGTATATAATGATGGCAGAAATGCTGATTATCTGTGTTCTCTCAGGGTGTGTTTTCTGGGTGTGTTGGCGCTGGCAATCAGCTGGGGCTCACTGGGTCTGGAACTGACTGTCTCGTCGGTGAGTGTCTCCATGGCAACACTTCTCCACACAGAGGCAGGACAGTATTGTAGTGATGCTGCTTCGTCTTGCGATCTTACTGCATATGCCCAAATTATAACTGTGGAATTACATAAAGCAGCCAGTGATAGTTAATCTCTGTGATTAGCAGCCTCTTTAGCATAGTTATATTATACAACTGCTTTAAAGGGGAGATGTCATGCAATTTTTTGTAAGCATAATCTAACACTCAGAATCTACACACTAACAGCAGTTAGTCAAATATAATCAAGGTAATTTTCATATTAACAATGTGCAAACCTACAGATCAAAGTCAAAGCTAGTCAAAATGGACTTGTCAGTGGGTTGCCAGCTACTAGTTGGCAAATCAGTTGCATGAAAGTCCCTGTATAAATAGGTTAGTTTCAGATTCACCAGGGCTTGATTGCATGCCTTTCTTAAGGGAAATTTAGATTAGATATTTTCTTGCTACTGCAATATGCAGTTAAACAGAATTGAGGGATTTCAAGGTGCATTTTTTTTTTAAAGGTAGACTATTTTTAGCTTGACATGCCATCTTAAAAACAACACTTTTCAACCAGTTAAAGCACAGCAAGCTGGCAGGATGCTAATTAAACAGTCACTAAAAATCACAGCTTAAAATATAAACACTACCTACAAGAGTTTGGAGTTGGTAAGATGTTTTTGAAAGAAGCCTCTTACCAGTCACCAAGACTGCATTTATTTGATCAAAAATACAGTAAAGTGAGTAATATTGTGATATTTTTTTAAAAAGTTAAAATATAATTTATTGTGAAGTAATGATGCTGAAAATTCAAATTAAACCACAGTCTTCAGTGTCTCATGATCCTTCAGAAATCATTCTAAAGTGCTGATTTTTATATTATCCATGTTGAAAACTCTTGTGTTGCTTAATATTTTTGTGAAAGCCATGAAATCTTTTTTTTTCAGAATTCTTATAGAAAGTTGAATAGAAGGGAAAGCTGAAATGAATAAGAAGTTCAACATACTGTACCAGCATTTATTTGAAATGGAAATCTTTTGTAACATTTTAAATATCTTTACTGTCACTTTTGATCAATTTAATGGATAAACTGTCTGTAGAACACATGTTTTAATCAGGGGAAAATATCATGCTATATAAAGTGTAGAATATACTCCTTTAATATTCATTGTTTGCTTTTCTTTCTCATTTTAGGGCTTCAGTGACTTCTGTGCGGCGCCTGACATGTACATGACCAAGGTGTCAGAGCAGTATATGCTTATCAAGAAAGGTTTGTTTCAAGAGTTTTCTTTCAAATCTCACAGATATTACATATCTTTTTTTTCTTTCTTCCACCTCCTGCTGATTTGTGAGTAAGATGCTTAATCCAGCAGGTGTTATTTTGAATCACTTGCGAGTCTGTCTGAATTTAGTCTGCCCTACATCTCCTGATGGAGAAGCGTGTTCTCTGAGGGATGAGCGGTCACGCAGGCGTTCATTTCCTGTTGGCTCCGAGAGGAAGTGTTCCTTCTGACTTTCTCTTCCTCACTTTATCAGCATTACGCAACACAGCGGTTCCTCTTCAAAGTGACCTTATTATCCACAGGAGGCTGGATGCTCTCAGTAAATCAGGGGAAGTGACAACCGTGTGGGTGTTTTTCTCTCAGTCTGTGTTTGTTTTGCGTGTCCGAGCGTTCCTCTTTGGGTGGCCGGAGCAAGATGTTGATGATGGAAAGTTATGCTCACATATTCTGGTTAAACCTAATCTAGGTGGCCTCAGGGTACGGCCCATTGGAAATTGGTCTTCCTATAACTTAATCCTTGGAAAGGAAGCATTTGCACTGGCCTGAACATGTGTGAATCCTGTTAAATGTGTTTAAAAGGTTTCATTATGTTGGACCTGTGGTTAGACATGGAGATGCAGAGGTTATATTGGGACTCAATGAAGGACCGCTAGAGTTGGTGCTATGCAGGAAGCAGAAGTGTGTTTGTATGCATGTGGATCTCTATATGCTTTCATGTAGTAGAAGCAGGTTTGATATGTCAACATTGGCATCTGTTATGATTAATCACTTTGTTGGTCGGCTGAGAATAGAAGAGCTACAGCAAGATCTTCTGGAGAACAGAGGAGAGAGATAAGAGGAAAGGAATAGAAAACCGCTGAAGGATGTGGATGATAAACCATGTGACTATCAGCTTCACACACCCATGTAATTGTGTGTCTTCTGGGCTCTATTCTTATCTTTGTTCTTCCTATCTGCAGTCTTCCTCTCATTTGCTCTAAATAAGTCCTTAAAGGGATAGTTCAGCCAAAATGGAACATTCTGCCAATATGTATTCTTCGTGCTGTTTTTCCAGACTTGTAACTCAGAAGGAGAATTATGAGATTTCACCCTGGCTTTTTCAGTCTAACACAGTTTTGTAGTGACCATGAGCAAGTGCTCCATGTGACTTGTGCATTAAGTCTTCTGAAGCAGTGGTGTTATCTAAATGGTTATTAACTAAAACCATTAAAATGTTTTTTATTAATTGAAATATATCTAAAATAAAGTATAAATATTAGATTAAAATTAAAAAAATGAAACCGAAATTAGAAAACTGAAGTAAGTTGACTACTAAATTTACTAGAACTAAAACTGAAATAAAATGAAGCACAATAGCTTTTGTAGTGACCATGAGCAAGTGCTCCATGTGACTTGTGCATTAAGTCTTCTGAAGCAGTGGTGTTATCTAAATGGTTATTAACTAAAACCATTAAAATGTTTTTTATTAATTGAAATATATCTAAAATAAAGTATAAATATTAGATTCAAATAAAAAAAAATGAAACCGAAATTAGAAAACTGAAGTAAGTTGACTACTAAATTTACTAGAACTAAAACTGAAATAAAATTAAGCACAATAGCACACAAAATTACTGAAAATATAATAAAATTTACTAAAATAGTATATAAATAATACTAAAATAACACTGTTCGGAAGTTAAAGAGAAAAGCAAAGTGTAATTGTTACCACATCATGAAGTGGCTCATAAAAAATTGGCTCAAAAAAAAAACTACTCCACTCAATGATTCATTTGATTTAAAGGGGTACTGCAGGGGAGGATTTTCACTGAAAAATTTTTTACAAAATGTAGTCTGTTCCTCACACAACTATAACATGACTTCTGAAGAATTGGAATATAGCACACAGTTTGATTCTTGTTTGTCTTTTTTTTTTTTAGTTTGTCAGTCATGGTCAGTCACTGTGTATTACTATGTGGAAAAGAGAAGCAAAATGAATAGTTTGAATAAAATATTGATGAAGTATGATTGCGTCATGAGGAAAAAAATATTTTGCTAGTGGGTTTTCAGAATTTGTCTCGCCATTCTAGAATCAAATAAGTCTTTGGAACATCATCAAAATATGCACATCAGATTTTAGCTTACACATTTCCACTAATTACATCGCTTTAGTCCAGAACTATATTTGGAGCAGTAATTCAGCCGGAAGCATTAATGGCTGTAGATGGAGACCACAAAGAAAGCTTTGAGTGTGTTCTTTCTGGCTATCACTGTCCTAGACTGACTCATCCTACTGCATTTCCCAAGAATAGAACCAAGATATTTCTGTACTTGCATGTCTGTGCCATCCATCGTGTCTCTTCTGTGAGGAAAGCCTCAGTATGTACCCCAGCATGTCTTCTGTGCTGCGCTGTTTAATACTGAATCTAGTTGTTTAAAGAGGCCATATGGGCCCATTATACAGACTGTGATGCATTTTTGGAATTATTAAAATCATAAATCTAGGGAACTTTTTATTTTCTTCATTTCATTTCTAACAGTACACTTTTGATTTTATATTAGCCTGGCTTTACAAATTTGTTTTATTTATTTTACTTATTTTTATACCAAAAGTAGAATACCTAATTAGAATTAGGCCGAATGCTTTGGCTACTTCTACATATAAATAAGCTCTGTTATGATGGGCTAACCTACTAGTTTATATGTTGTTGTTTTATTTAAATGACATCACAAAGTTTATTCATATCAAGTCTATTTGATGTTCACTCGATATTAATTTCAAACCCAGAAGATGACAATAATCCAAACATGTATCTAATTTAAATGCTTTCCTCTTAAAAAAATGAACATTAATGCATGCTATAATTGTCCTCCATTATGTGTGCAGTTTACTCATCTGATAAAGTCGCCAAAGGGTGTTGAATTTTACAATCATCATTGAAGAATATCTGTGAAACACTTCATAAATAAGATCTGTCAGTGTGCTGGTGTGTTCCCTGCCTCGCGTGAATCAGGATCTTTTACAGCCTGCAGTTATCGCGTCGTGAGTGGGATTTAAAGCTCTGCCTCCTCTCAGATCGTTTTTGGAAGCCACTCCATTGTCTTTGTGCAGTTTCATATGGGCATCACCAGTCACCCAATATTACATCCAATTACTGGAGGTTATTTACACATGACATATGAGCCTGTGGGGCTCTGGCCCTCTCACTGAATACTGTTACAACCTATAAATCCAGCACTGAACTCCACTACTACACTATACGCTCAGTTTAGCCTTTTGTATACAGCCATCCATGGATATAATTGAGAGGCCAGTTTATTCCCCTCATCATTGCCATAATTATGCCATTTATAGTGCAATCAAGGAGGCCGGTCGTATGGGATGGGGGAATTGGCTTGTTCATAAGCAGGTTTTACTTTTCCCTGTGACCGCTGCCATGTGTGTCTCCACGTGTGTATTAATGATAGTGATGAAAGCATCACACTCCTCCTCAACAAACCCACCACTCTGACGCATGTGTCTGTTTTTGATTCGCGTCCACGCAACCCGCTACAAGCTGCGCATGAAGATGGCCCAAGACTCCATCTGCGTTGGCGTGTGGAGGTTTGTGAGAGGACTGTGTGAATCAGTACCATTTCCTGTGCAGAAATGGAAAGTATTTTTTTTAACTGCAGTCTAGAGCTTCATTTCCATTCATCTTTGCATTCACAGATCAGATTCATTGCATGGTAATTTTAATCAACTTCACAATTGAAAAAGTGTGGGACCCCAAACTTTTGTGTGTGTGTTGTACATTTTAAACTTGTATTTAATGGGACTCAAACCCATAACCTTGGTGTTGCTAACATCAAGCTTGAGAGATACTAACCTACTATTTACCTTCAGCTCTCGTCTTTCTTTTCAGTCCTTGTAAAAATCCTCAGTGACCTGGCAGCACTCTTCAAATGTGTGATTGTGTTTTCTGTTCACGTTTACTAAAAATAGTAGAAATCACAATGAAATTCAACCGAATATGACGCCTATTACTGATGCACATTTTTTGACAAGCAAATGAAACTTGCAACTTTCTGCACCAGGCAAGAGTTATTCCTGAACACCCCTAAGACTTCCTAGAGTCTTATTCATTTATTCAATATTTTGGCTAATTCATGATGCGCTCAGCTACCAATAAAACTGCCCTTAAAGCTCACCCAAAAATGAAAATTCTGTCATTAATTACTCACCCTCATGTTTTTCCAAACCCGTAAGAGCTTCATTAATTTTCGGAACACAAATTAAGATATTTTTGATTAAATCCAAGAGCTCTCAGACCCTCCATAGACAGCAAAGCAACTGACATGTTTAAGGCTCAGAAAGGTAGTAAAGACAAAGTTAAAATGGTCCATGAGACATCAGTGGTACAACCTTAATGTTATGAAGCTACAAGAATACTTTTTGTGCACATTGAAAACAAAAATAATGACTAAATTCAACAATTTCTTCTCTTCCGTGTCAGTCTTCAATGTGCGTTCACGAGAGTACCACGACGCATTTCTTTGCGCACATAGTATTCTCGTAGCTTCATAACATTAAGGTTGAACCACTGATGTCTCATGGACTATTTTAACGATGTTTTGGGCCTGTCTATGCAGGGTCAGAAAGCCCTTGGATTTCATCAAAAATATCTTAATTATCCCTTTAACTAAACACATTTTAGCATGTTTGAATTCATCCTACAGATTTTCCTTCAATATTGATGCAAAAATATCTGCAGATTTGCTCTGGATTAGTTATTGACTGGGAAATTCTCCTCTGCAGGAAAGAAATTAGATGCTCTGCTTAGCTTGTGCGAGCGAGGCATTTGTGGACGGAATCTAGAGATGCTGGTGGTTGGAAATATACTGGTGCATCTCAATAAATGAGAATGTCGTGGAAAAGTTCATTTATTTCAGTAATTAAACTCAAATTGTGAAACTCGTGTATTAAATAAATTCAATGCACACAGACTGAAGTAGTTTGTCTTTGGTTCTTTTAATTGTGATGATTTTGGCTCACATTTAACAAAAACCCACCAATTCACTATCTCAACAAATTAGAATACTTCATAAGACCAATAAAAAAACATTTTTAGTGAATTGTTGGCCTTCTGGAAAGTATGTTCATTTACTGTACATGTACTCAATACTTGGTAGGGGCTCCTTTTGCTTTAATTACTGCCTCAATTCGGCGTGGCATGGAGGTGATCAGTTTGTGGCACTGCTGAGGTGGTATGGAAGCCCAGGTTTCTTTGACAGTGGCCTTCAGCTCATCTACATTTTTTGGTCTCTTGTTTCTCATTTTCCTCTTGCAGATACCTGACATGGATGCTGTGGGTTCTCTGAGCTCAGTAAATGATAGTGTGTCAGTGTGTGGGTTCATTTGCTTTGGGCAGATGTGAAACGTAAAGAAAAGCGAAACGATTTGTAGAATGTTGCAGGTTTATAATGACTTACAGTGCATAAATTATATTATATGGTTATAGATGCAAGGAAATGGAAAAGCCGTCATACCTGAGTGGGTCTTCATCTAGATAATAAATGCTGATTTCTTTCATGGCATTGCTCTTGACCTACTGCCTCTCTCTCTTTACAGATATCCTGCAGTATTACCTCACATGTAACGTGGGTCAGGTCAACCCCTTCCAACAGGTAATCATAGCTTCTACCTCTCTTGAATGCATTGATTCAGATTTGATCTGTTAACTAAATCCCTCACTTTCAAATCTCTGAGAGATGTCCTCAGAAAAAGTATATCGTCTCTGTTCCAAACAATAGTGAGCTTCCTAACTGGAGAAGTCTGGCATCATAGAGACATTCCCAACAGAAAGGCTTTTGCAAATAGCAGAATTATGCACCATTATACATACCTAATTTGGCAAAAATATAATACAGCATGACATGTGTGCATCATGGAAATGGTAATCCCAGAATTCATTGCTATTAGGTAATTTAAAAAAAGTTAGCAACATGCTAACAGGTGTTATTTTAGTATTTATATTCTATATCCTAGTAATAAATATATATTATAGTATTTATGAATATTTAGTTTTTGGCAATTTTGGCATTCTTTTGTCATTTTTAAAATAAAATAAAAATGTATTTATACTATATATCATTAGTAAAGTTCTAATATTTATTTGATTTGATTTCAGCTTTCAGTTAACAAAAATAGTTTTAATAGTTAAAGTTACTGATTCTAACGTCAGACTCTGGGAGAGTTAGTTTAGTCTTGTGCACTTAGGTGTGAGGGACCATTAATGTTGTTCCTTCTGTAGGTAGTTAATAGACAGCAAGGTATCTCACTGGAGTTTGGAAGACAGCCAGTCTCCTCCCTCCTCACACTCCAGTACAGGGGAAGTGCCACCCCCTGTTTAGTTTGCCACTACATTAGCATTCTCATTGCGAGCTGCTGTGTGTTCCTTTGGCTTCCTGCCTTTCCCATTAGTTAATGGAGTCAGACTCTACATCTTTATTTGAATAATGTATGTGCATGATTCAGACAAATCACAGCTCTTAACTGTTCATGATTGATGGGTTATCTCAGTGACCGCTCCATTGTCTTGATGTCATTTAATTTAAATGAAGGGTAACGCCCATATGGAGGCTGAATGCTCTACTTTGTCAGCTGATGTCACTGAAAGGAGTTCCTCCAGTTCTCATGCAGCATACAGATGCACGGAGCCTGATTCACATCTGAGACAGCAATGTATTGAAATGGATATTGATTTCAGACTTAAAATATCACCAAGGAATATTTTAAGAACATTTAAAGAGAAATGTTGACGATTCTGCAAGAAGTTTAATGCTAAAAATCGGAGTTGCTTTGCTGTCTACAATGCACATAAGCAGTTACCTTCACAAGACATGTTCTTGAATTCAAAACAATTAGATTTTATCTGTGAAGGATGCCAAAATTGTGGGACTGGTTAGATTTTTTTAAATGTTTTTGAAAGAAGTCTCTTATGCTCACCAAGGCTGGTTTTGCTGTTTTTTCATTAAATAAATACAAATGAAATGAAATATTACGTTTTAAAAACGTTTAGGTTTGAATATATTGTAAAATGTAATGGATCCCTATGATGGCAAAACTGAATTTTCATCATCATTACTCTAGTCTTCAGTGTCAAATGATCCTCCAGAAATCAATCTAATATGCCAGTTTAATGCTCAGGAAATATGTTTTTATCAACATTGAAAAATATTGAAATAGAAATCTTTTGTAACATTGTCTTGACTGAAAATTTGATCAATTTAATGTGTCCTTGCTCAATAAAAGTAGTAATTTGTATTTAACCTCAAACTTTTGAATGGTAGTGTATATAATGCTGCTTTAGAATTTGACCAAAAGAATGTATCTTCTAAGGCAGCATAATTTTGGAACAAAGTTAGTTGCGTTTGTGTAGGTGTTATTTTAGTATTTATATTCTATATCCTAGTAATAAATATATATTATAGTATTTATGAATATTTAGTTTTTGGCAATTTTGGCCTTCTTTTGTCATTTTTAAAATAAAATAAAAATGTATTTATACTATATATCATTAGTAAAGTTCTAATATTTATTTGATTTGATTTCAGCTTTCAGTTAACAAAAATAGTTTTAATAGTTAAAGTTACTGATTCTAACGTCAGACTCTGGGAGAGTTAGTTTAGTCTTGTGCACTTAGGTGTGAGGGACCATTAATGTTGTTCCTTCTGTAGGTAGTTAATAGACAGCAAGGTATCTCACTGGAGTTTGGAAGACAGCCAGTCTCCTCCCTCCTCACACTCCAGTACAGGGGAAGTGCCACCCCCTGTTTAGTTTGCCACTACATTAGCATTCTCATTGCGAGCTGCTGTGTGTTCCTTTGGCTTCCTGCCTTTCCCATTAGTTAATGGAGTCAGACTCTACATCTTTATTTGAATAATGTATGTGCATGATTCAGACAAATCACAGCTCTTAACTGTTCATGATTGATGGGTTATCTCAGTGACCGCTCCATTGTCTTGATGTCATTTAATTTAAATGAAGGGTAACGCCCATATGGAGGCTGAATGCTCTACTTTGTCAGCTGATGTCACTGAAAGGAGTTCCTCCAGTTCTCATGCAGCATACAGATGCACGGAGCCTGATTCACATCTGAGACAGCCATGTATTGAAATGGATATTGATTTCAGACTTAAAATATCACCAAGGAATATTTTAAGAACATTTAAAGAGAAATGTTGACGATTCTGCAAGAAGTTTAATGCTTTATGCTTTAAAAATCGGAGTTGCTTTGCTGTCTACAATGCACATAAGCAGTTACCTTCACAAGACATGTTCTTGAATTCAAAACAATAAGATTTTATCTGTGAAGGATGCCAAAATTGTGGGACTGGTTAGATTTTTTTAAATGTTTTTGAAAGAAGTCTCTTATGCTCACCAAGGCTGGTTTTGCTGTTTTTTCATTAAATAAATACAAATGAAATGAAATATTACGTTTTAAAAACGTTTAGGTTTGAATATATTGTAAAATGTAATGGATCCCTATGATGGCAAAACTGAATTTTCATCATCATTACTCTAGTCTTCAGTGTCAAATGATCCTCCAGAAATCAATCTAATATGCCAGTTTAATGCTCAGGAAATATGTTTTTATCAACATTGAAAAATATTGAAATAGAAATCTTTTGTAACATTGTCTTGACTGAAAATTTGATCAATTTAATGTGTCCTTGCTCAATAAAAGTAGTAATTTGTATTTAACCTCAAACTTTTGAATGGTAGTGTATATAATGCTGCTTTAGAATTTGACCAAAAGAATGTATCTTCTAAGGCAGCATAATTTTGGAACAAAGTTAGTTGCGTTTGTGTTTCACAATTCTTGTCAGCAGCACTGAACCTTGCTGATGCTGCCTGTTGTCTTTAGTTAGTTTCCAGCACTGTTGCCTGCCATTAACACGGTAAGCAGAAGTCTTCTGTGAGCTCTGTAAAGAAGGACATGTTGTACTTTCACTGCCTCTTTCTCACTGAATGTCAGCAAATTTTCCAGCCTATCATTGTGGAACTGTTGGCAGACAAAGCTAACACGGTGGCCATTTGGAATCTCAAATATTCATGTTTTCAAGACCTGTGCTTTTGAAATGCTCCGCAACACACCTAAATGGCCGGATGCAAGAGCCTGTACTGACTTTAGCTGCTGGGTGTAAATGCACTGTTGCATTATGCAAGCAGCTCTCTCTGCTGCAGTACTAACAGTGGAGTGAGCGCGGGTGTGTGCAGTGGTGAATGAACACAGAGGAAATACTTCTGCACTGGCCAGGAAGTGGAAGTTGCGCAACCCAGTTTGTATTACCTGTCGAGCTCTTAATATTGCATTTGTGTGTCTTCCAGAAAATAACCAGAATCAAATAATTACACGCCTTATTAATAATGATATAGTTTTGTGAATTATACTAATAAATTCATACTTTATCTAAGACGCATTAAAATAATCAAAAGTGACAGTAAAGACATTTATAATATTGTAAAAGATTTCTATTTAAAAAATAGGGCTCTTTTAAAATTTCTATTCATTAAAGAATCATGAAAAAAATGCATCACGATGTCTATTACAAAAATAATAAGCAGCACAACTACTTTCAACATTGATAATAAGAAATGTTCCTTGAGCACTAAATCAGCAAATTAGTATGAATTCTGACGGATCATGTGACACTGACGACTGGAGTAATGCTAAAAATCACAGGAATAAATTACATTTTAAAATATACTAGAAAATATATTTAAATATTATTATTATTATTATACTATATTATTATTATTATAGTAATTGTCACTATTATTTTTGATCTAATAAATGTAGCCTTGGTGACTTCTTTCTTTACTTTTTTTTATAATTAGCTTTTCAACTGCTGTCTTTTAGTTTCATTTTATTTTTCATTTTCATTTGGGTCACTAAGTTTTACAAAAATGTGTTTAGCTCTATAGTTTTTTGTGCTAGTTTTAGTATATTATACTAACCAGATTCCTATAAATTCCTGTCTGCCTAAAAAACCTGTAAATGTTGAAAAATACTTATAAAGCACATAGAAAAAAATTATATTGTATAAGGTTGTAAATGAGATGAATTTTGCACACAGCATGTAACAGGTTTTGTTTTTTTCTTGTTGTAGAAGCTGTCAGGAAGTCACAAAGCACTGGTGGAAATGCAGGATGATGTGTCAGAACTACTGCGCTCTGCAGTCCGGGAATACCCCAAAACAAAGGTGAGCGCGTGTATATAGATTTCTGCGTGACTGTGTTTGTGTTTATTTAGAGCATGCATGTAGTATGTATGGGCCATTTCTCACAGTCCCTGATGCACAAAAGCTTGCAGGTACTTTTGTAGTGTCTGTGTGGAAATGTTTGTGTTCACACTATCTCTGGGCCTCTGTCATTGTGCAGCATCTATGTGTGTTCTGGGACAAAGTGATGGCTGACATTCTGTACGTGTGAGAAAGAAAGCCGTCCTCTTGCTAAAACACAAGCGTTGAGAGAAACCGCTGAATCAATGGAAATATTTTACCCTTATAACCAGCCAAAATCTGATTACCACTGCAACTTCATACAACTTAGACCTCACACAACTCTGAGCCTTTAAAAGAAAGAAAACAAGCCTCTCTGCTTTGACATCCTCCTGTGTGAATGTTTTGGTTTGTCATGCGTGTGCCATTGTGTGCTGGACTCATAAAGACTAAATAGAAATGAGGATATTGATTATACTGCCTAATGTATGCACTGCATTTACATTTAAATTTAGTCATTTAGCAAACGCTTTTATCCAAAGTGACTTACATGAGGACAATAGAAGCAATCAAAACCAACAAAAGAGCAATGATACGCAAGCACGGTGACAAGTCTGTTAGTCTTTCAGTTTTTAAAATAAATAAATAAATAAAAAGAAAAGAAGTAGATAGAATAGAAGAATAATAGAGAATGCTAGTGTTAGAGCAGGGGTAGGCAACGTCGGTCCTGGAGTGCCGATGTCTTGCAGAATAAGCGCCAGATAAACAGCCAGCCTTGTAGGCTACTCTCCTAGGTTCACAAAACTGTCATCCATAAAATGCGTTGCACAAATTCGAACATCTGGGTTGTGCTGTTCTGTTGTAAATAAATCTTAACCAATGATTCCTCATTGCATCTACTTCCGGAAGGCCAAATAAAGTGCTTTTGCTTTCGCACTGAAACACAGCGTCTCCCTGACATGGCTGCATCAACACTACTGCTGTTCCTGAAACCACACCTTCTTTCTTTGCGTGAACATTTGGGCAGCATTATGCAAATATTTCCACATCGTGACGTAGAGATGTGGGGGCGTGTTTGAATGAGGCGTTTTAGCCCGGTCTGGATCAGCCTTCTCTTTTAGATAGAATAAATCCTTTTGTGGGAGACTTTGAGCTTTGTAACTCTGCAGAATCTTACACATGCACAAATAGCTACATAACACACTGAAATCACATCATATGACCCCTTTAAAATTGTAGTAATAGTTGGCAATATTGCGGTTTTAATGTATTTTTAAGTAACTTTTAAACGTGTACGTAAATGAGAATATCTATTTAGACATTGCATTTAGAGTAACCGTTTTATTTCAAACTATGTCTTCCTGTTTTTTAGGGAAACCTTGAGCAAATTCAGGGGGGTTTGAACACCACTGAAGTCGGACTGCACCAGCTCACTGCTCTTGTGGACTGCCGCAGTTTGCACATGGTAAGAAAGTGTTTCAGAGTATATGACCACTTTGCACATAAGGTTCCTCTCTGACTCCAAGCACATCCTGCAGTGCGCTTACAAACACATGTGTGTTTCTATCTTCTATCTGCTCTAAACCTTCTATCTGCAGTCTGGAGCCTGTCCTCTTCTCTGTGATATCCTATATTTCTGGATTCAGTATGACTAGAGTTCCTCCTCAGGGCTGAGAGACAGAGGCCTGCTGTGTGGGTGGTCCTAAAAGTGCATCTCCTTCACATGAGAAGAGAAAGTAACGGATAAAATATGGACTTTTGGAAACGCATTATACATTATTAATGGTGTTTTCATTCTGCAAAAGCAATAACATACTTTACGGTCCAAACCATCTGGGCCATATGTGGGAGAGTTTGTGCTGGAGATGCAGAACAGCGCCGGCAGTAATTACAAATGGAGCAATTTTGCAGTTAATAATGACAGTAATTTGGAGGAAGGAAGATGCTGCCATGTTTCTCTGATAGCAGCATGTGTAGGGCTGGTCGCGGTTCGGTCAGCATGTATTATTAAAAGCCCTGTTTCTCTCTGCAGCATATGGTGCCGTCTCCTTCAGGAAGTTCTCAGTTAGAGAGTCTAGCACTGGATATCATCATACTGTTTTCATTTCTTTTGTATCTATTATCCACATACCCAGCAGAGACTGGTTTCTGTGCTGTTGCAGGCAAGACATTTAAAGTGACAGTTGACCCAAAAATGAACATTATTCTGTCATTATTTTCTCATCCTTGTGATGTTCAAAACCTGTATCCTAATTTTGTGCCTCTGCTGATGAAAGAGAGTCAATGATGGCAGTGTTTGCGTGCAGTGCTGTGATTGTCTTTCTGTTTGTGTGCAGGATTATGTGCAGGCATTGACTGGAGTGTGTTATGATGGACTGGAGGGTCTGATCTACCTGGTGCTGTTCTCATTCATCACAGCTCTCATGTTCACCTCTGTCGTCTGCAGTGTGCCACACACATGGCATGGCAAAAGGTGAGATCTGAAGAGAAAAAAAAAAGTTCCAAATATTTTATGGTTTTATATAATAATAATTATTATTAAATATAGAGAGGTTATTATAGTTAAGTTAAAAAATGTGTTAGTCATTAGTATACATTAGTATTAGTAAGGCAATATTTCTCTTTTTAATAATACTTGATGATACTAAAAAACAAAAATTTTAAAATTTTAAAAAACTCTTAATTAAAGCTTAATGATATACTAAAATAACATTGCCTCAAAAAGTGTTTTGTAGATTGTGGTAACCCACAATCCACAACCCAGTTGTTTGAGGGGGTGGGAAAAAAAAGAACGAAAAAATATATATATAATATTATTGATATATTTATATCAGGGTGTCCGCGGGTCCTTAAAAAGTCTTAAAATGTCTTAAATAATGTTTTCCTAATATAAGGCCTTAAAAAGTCCAGTTATTTTGTGGGGATATTTTGTATGGAATATTGTCTGCTGACATGAAAAGTTCATTGTATATCATAGTAATAAATACCATTTATTACAGCATTGATATTTTGTTTTCTTTTTAATTTATACACATTAAATATTACATATATGTATGCAATAAAATGTGTATTTCCATTACAGGTTTAGGTCTTAAATTTCATATAAGGTGGTATTAAAAAGGTCTTTAAAAAGTCTTAAATTTAACTTGTTCAAGTCTGCAGAAACCCTGTTATATGTGTGTGTGTGTTTGTGTATGTATACACATGTATGTATGTATGTATGTGTGTGTATATATACATGCATATATGACAACAACTATACTATTACTAACAGTACGCATCTAATAGTGACCTTATACTATATATATTATATATATACTTTATACTTTGCAGCATGAAATATGTATTATCTGGCTTATAGTGCATTAAAGAGAAAGGGGCGGTTTTGTTATCGTCATAAAACACATTAACTTGCGTGGGAAAAGAACAGTGTTAGCAGTATGACGCAGTCATTCAGTGGAACATCCTAATTTTTGTAGTCAGATGCACTCAGGAGGATTAAACCAGAGATAAAACAACAGTGGAATTAGTGTGTTTGTGTGTCCATGGGCATTGTTTCGAAGACTATGGTTGGACACATCGTGCTCCCATCATGCTCTTCGGTCAAAATGTAAACGGAAACAGCTGCCTCGCTCCATCTCTTCCCCCTTGTTCCTTCCTTCCAAGCGCTCTGTGTGGCAATCGCTCACATCTTCCTCCCATAATTACGTAAACTGCAATAATTTCCCGGTCCAGGCCCGTGCAGCTGCTCTCCCAGGACAGGCCTGCATCAGGCAAACAGGATTAGGCTAGCAGAGATAGAAAGGACAAAGACGCCAGCTTAAGCATATTATGTAATTATCACACTCATAAGTGTGTTTCTCATGGTACACAGCTATTCACACTACCTGTTCATTATAGATAATTAGCAGTTTCTGAATATGAGTTTAGGCAGGCTGTGGCAGGCCATGCAGTGTGGAGGTAGACACTGATTGTTAACTGTGTGAAGTTGGGAAATACTGAGATATTTGAAGTTAGTGTATGCATTTTTATATGCAAACATTTTTTTTGTTGGTGTTAAAGATGCACACAGGCTTTTTTATAATCTTTTAAAATGTAATAGTACTTTTTATACATATAATAAAAAAGCTTAATGTCACATCAGACCAGCACAACATTTAAAAATAAAGAAAGAAAAAGTACCGAGTGCCCCTTGTAAAAATCGGAAAAAAATTGGATTCAATTTCACTATGAAAAAAAGAAATCACACTATGAAAACAAATTACAAGACTACAAAAACTAATTTTAACATGTATACTTCTCATGCATTGACAACAATAACAAAAAAAGAGAAAATGATTTTTTTAAAGTATGTAACCGCTGATTTTTTTAATGCAAATATTCTAAACAGTATTGTAACTATTTTTAACATCTTAAACAGAAGTGTGGAAATGCCCCCAGAGAGTAGTTAAGATGATTTTTAAGTAATTTAAGTGTTGGCTGGAGTTGTACTGAAGCTGAACCTGCTTACTGAATAGTTATAGAGTTCATCAAGCTACCATGTCCAGCAGGGGGCGGCCCAGATCTGTACATTTATAGCACCACACTCTGTTTCACAGCCCTCCTGATAGTGTTCATTTTTCTCCCTCTGGTCATCATCAGCTTTTTCATTCATGTTCATTATGCTAACACAGTGCTGTTCCTGGTCGCATGTAATCCAATCAATGGACACAGGAGAACAAACTGTTAGTGGTCTGTCAAGAGTCACAGAATCACTGATGCAGGTTTTTGTGTGGTTCCAGGCTTTCCCTCAAACCATATGTCATCCCTCTTGGCCAAATGCATGCTGCTCTCTTTTTTTCCCCTGTGGCTGAAAGCAAGCAGAGCACATGCCTCTATGTGGACTTGATGTGCTCTTCCTGTTTGTCATTAGTGTAACAGCAGAGAGCGCCCTCTGCTGTTCATACCACAGTGTGACACATTGATAGTGAAGATCAGATGGAGTTTAATGTACAGTTGGGCATATCACAGTGGTATGAATCATATTTTTCCCCTTATTTTGAGTGGATTCATCAATTTCTCTGAGGTTTTGGCGTTCCACTTTGAATTAAGGTTTATTTATTTTTTTGGGACTACACTGATGGTATATGTGACCCTGGACCACAGAACCAGTCATAAGGGTAATTTATTTATTTTTTTATTGAGATTTGTACTACATCTGAAAGCTGAAAAAAAGCTTTCCATTGATGTATGGTTTGTTAGGATAGGACAATATTTGGCTGATACTCAACTATTTGAAAATCTGGAATCTGAGGGTGCAAAAAAATCTAAATATTGAGAAAATAACCTTTAAAGTTGTCCAAATGAAGTTCTTAGCAATGCATATTACTAATCAAAAATTAAGTTTTGATATATTTACGGTAGAAAATTTACAAAATATCTTCATGGAACATGATTTTTACATAATATCCTAATGATTTTTGGCATAGAAGAAAAATCTATAATTTTGACCCATACAATGTATTGTTGGCTATTGCTACAAATATACCCGTGCTACTTAAGACTACTTTTGTGCTCCAGGGTCACATATTTTTAGTGACATGTTAACACTACAGTTCAAAAGTTTGAGGTTGTAAGACTTTTTTTTATAATGTTTTTAAAAGAAGTCTCTTATGTGCATCCAGGCTGTAATTATTTGAATAAATATTCAGTAAAAACAGTAATATTGTGAAATATCACAGTTTAAAATAACAGTTTTGTATTGTAATATATTTTAAAATATAATTTATTCCTGTGATAGTAAAGCTGAATTTTCAGCATCATTACTCCAGTCTTCAGTGTCACGTGATCCTTCAGAAAGCATTTTAATATGCTGATTTGCTGCTCAATGTTGAAAATAGTTGTGCTGCTCAATAATTTTGTAGAAACTGCGATGCATTTTAATATTCACAATTTAATGTGTCCCTGACATTAAAAAAAAAACCAAAAGTTTAAATAGAAATGTATTTGTTCATTTATTTATATTTTGTCCCATATCCATTCATTCATTATGCATTGCTGTAATTTACCGCTTTGCTTTTTTAGCATCAAAAAACTTTCAATAAAATGACATGATTTTTACCTGACAGTACTTCCCTTTTGTTCTGGAGGTGGTGCTAATCAGCAGCGGGTATTTTGCTTCTGCCAAGTGTTGGGTACAGATGACAACTCTCTGATCTCTTGAGGGGTCCCGTCTGAGTTTGACACTGCTTCTCAGCTATCTGCAGTGTCTTAACACTGCTAACTGGCAGTTTTACTCAAATTCACACTCCCACAGCGATCATGGCTTGCGCTTTCACTGAGGCGACTTCACAGCACAGTGACATTGGGCTGTGTTGACAGATTAAACGATATCAAACTACAGCTGATGTCCTCTGAAATCAATGAAGTATCACCCCTGAGCTCAAGCCAGTTTGAGTTGATGGACCTGTCTCTGTAATACATCGCTTTAAATAAAAGCATCTATTTGTTTCCTGCTAACAGTAATGTGTCTGTTGTGTGTGTTTGTGCATACAGGCCTGATGAGAACAGTGAGGAGGAGTCCATGGCTCATGGAGGCAGGCAGAATCATGATAACCTGTACCGGGTGCACATGCCCAGTCTCTACAGCTGCGGCAGCAGCTATGGCAGCGAGACCAGCATCCCTGCGGGAGCACACACTGTCAGCAACGCTCCTGTTACGGAGTACATGTGAGTTAAACACACACATGTATGACGTCAACAACCAATACATATGAACACATACTGGTCACCTTTTCCGTTCTGTGAGGGATCCATGGAGTTTTTTGTAGAAATAACCTGATATTCAGTTTGACCGATACTTCTTACTGATGCTCCCACATTTCTACTGCATCTCTTTTTGGTTCTTCCATGTGCCACTATTCATTTATAAATGATAGACTCATAGTCATTTAAGTGAAACTTTTATTTGTTACCTAAAACAACTATGGAAATAAATACACCACTATTTAGATCACAAAACTGCTTCGTATAATGATTGCACTTAATAATAATAATAATAATAAGCTCTTTTTTTTAATACTACTACTTTTACTATTAGAAGTTGAATCATAAACAATTCTATTACTCAAAGAATCCTGAAAAAATTATATCATGGTTTCTACAAAAAATATTAAGCAGCACTTTCAACATTGATGATAATAATAAATGATTCTTAAGCAGTAAATCGGCATATTAGAATATGATAAGATCATGTGACACTGAAGACTGGAGAAATGATGCTGGAAATTCAGCTTTGACATCACAGGAATTAAAAAATATATACAAATAGAAAACCGTTCTTTTAAATTGTAATAATATTTCGCAATATTGGTGTTTTTACTGTATTTTTGTTCTTTCAAAAGCATTTAAAAAAATCTTCCCGACCCCAAACTTAAATGGTAGTGTAAATAAACAAGTACAATAAATTTGAAATAGATCAGTAACATTAATGCGGGAGGATTTGGGTTCTTTGTAAAGAGTGTGTGTGTGTCTCATTTCCAGGACCCAGAATGCAAACTTCCAGAACCCTCGCTGTGAGAACACCCCTCTGATCGGGAGAGAATCTCCTCCTCCAACTGTAAGTACCTGCACTCGTCCTCCGTGAATGACGACACACACAAACACACTAACGCACAAACCACAGAGTCATTTTGACAGCCTGAATGCTTAAATATTCACCTCAAATAGCACGTTCTTGTAGTTCGCTTGTGTAAATCAATGATCTCCCCCACTGTAGTTTCACTGTACACAGCAAGTCATTACAAAGAGCCCTGAACTCTGTTCAAGTAATTAGATGATTTAAGTTGAGGAAGCAGACCTTTCAAGCTGCTGTTGGACAACTTCTGCTGTTGGGAGCTTCTCGCTTGCCCAATCTCACAGAACAGATTAGGTGGAGTGGTGATTTATAGCCATAGATCGATGTTGCATTGATTTTTTTTGTGGGAGGAAAAGGAGAACAGAGATTTTGAGCCAGCTGCCCACTTACTGACTCGAAACACCTCGATAACTGAAGCAAGATATCAACACGGTCACCTGTAATTGCTGAAATCGGGTTGTTAAACTCAGTGCTCTGACATGGAAGAGGGGTGATTGATTAGCTGAGTGCCTCTGACATTTCACATAGACTTTTAATGTATTTCAACACCTCTTTTTGGGAGCCAATCAATGTGAAGCTCCCAAAATAAGAACTAGAGCACAATGGAAACATTAGCACCATGGACAACAGTCTTGCTGTAGGCTATTCTTTGCAATGAACATTTCCTGAGGAAAAAAACATTTAAAAGAACGGTGTGGCTAAGAGTTTAGACAGTGTGGCTTGTCGGTTTCATTCTTGTCTGCAGGAATCCGCCAACCCATAAACTAATTCGCTGGGGAGGTTAGTTGGTGGGACTGTTAGCATTCACTCATTAACAGACACTAATAATGTCAGAAGGTGACTAAATATTTGAGTACTTGTTCTGCACCACCTAGTCAACTAGTAAAAACTCAAATAGGTTTTCTTTTGAGCAATTGCCGGCCATAAGCACCAAAATAAAAGTTCCCAGAGTTAATTTAAATGTTGGCATTACAATTGTGAACATTAGGTGGCACTGTGGATACATGATGTTGAGGAGATTGACGTGTGCTTTCAGACACACTATTTAGGTTTTCTAGCTTTTCTTACCGTTGTTAGGCTAATTTTCCTGGGCGAAATCCAGTCATTTAATGTGAAGGCATATGATTTATGCAGATTTCACGACGGGTTCAAGTTCAACAGAAAGCTGCTTGGTTTGAAAGTGACTTCTGTCTGAGCTGTGCTTCAGTATTTATCGCTACGCTATTGGCAATGTAAATTTTTTTTTTTTGGCGACATTTTGCTAATGTGACATTCGTGTTAGGGTCATGCATCCCACCAGATGAGAATCCAATTTTATGGTCTTATAAGAAACTTGATTGATTAAGATTGCTTATGAGATTAGTGTATATTATTAAAATACATTTTTATATAGCTTCTGGGTGAGCGCTAGTCTTATTGTTGACTTTTGCAATTACCTTCAATACATTACATTAATTTTGGAATTATGCATTACGTTATTTTTATGTCTGATTATTGTTTGTTTAAATTTCACATACATATACTAAAGCAATAAGCCCCATGAAGCCGTGGTTTACAGTGAATATATGTTATAATAGCTATATTACGTCCGCTAGGGGTAAGACGCAATAAATGAATAAACGGGAAGGAACAAAAGGCTTCCAGCAGGCCGCCAGACCAAAAAAAGAACCAGAGAAAACACAAAGTATAAGGTAGCTTTATTGTACATGACCAAGGAAAACGCAGCCACCAATTTGACCTTTCCCTTCCCACAAAGAAATAACAAAAGCAAAATAATTAGTCTAAGTGGTGAATTATTAAATATAAATAGATACAGTGGGGCAAAAAAGTATTTAGTCAGCCACCAATTGTGCAAGGAAATAAATACAATAAACCTAACTTATCTACTCTTAACCAAAAAACATAGTATAAATGAGATTTAAACAAAAGGGCAGGTCTCTCCTACATTACTACCACATTTCAAAAGAACCGAACAATCAAAAGAAACACTAACAACACATCTTGGTCTGGCGGCTAAAAGGGAGTCTGGACCAGTGCGACTTTTTTTTAACTTGCATTTTATTTATTTTAGATTTATTTTGGGAATTTTTTGCCTTTATTATGATAGGGTAGCAGCTAGACAGGAAGCGGACTAGGAGAGAGAAATGGGGGAAGGAAAAGGTCAACGAGCTGGGACTCAAACTCGAGATACCCAAAGTGCAGTGGCACTGTATGTCGGCGTGCTGTTCTCACTGATTTTGACAAATCAGTTACATGACCACAAATTTATTCTGTTTTTAAGAAACATTATCACTGGACAAACTTTAAATGAAGCTAAAAATCTGTGTTAAAATCGGTTAGTCGACTGGTAGTTTAGGTGAGATACAGATTGTCAGGACTTGCTGATGTAAGTTAACCCCACTTGCACCGTGTACTTGTGTCCCCTCACACCTTCGTGTCTGGTCTTGTGTCCTCTAGACTTTACGTGTGTGTGTGTGTGTGTTTGGGAGTGCATGTGTACGTGTTTCTTGTGAGCTGGAGATGCAGTCAGTGGTGTCTATCTGCTCTACAGTTTCTTGTCGTTTTCTTTTCTGCAAACCCACACAGTTGTATTTGACATCCACGGACAGTAACAGCCATCACAGCTGGCAGTTAAAGCCATCGGAGAGTTCCCGCTCGTTTTGGTAACGGCCTCGGCTATTCCAACAGGTACTCAAATGCCCCACTCCCACTTATTGGCCCACCTTCCTCCCTATAAAAACAAAAAACACAACAGCCGTGAGTCCTTCCCAAACCACCCTCACTCTGACCCAAGCAAGCTGCCCTCGCCCCTGGTGTTTTTGTTGTGTGGATCCCTGGTCTGGCATGTTCTTCTTCCACCTACATTAACTCTTCACGGATCTGACAGAGAATCCAATTTCCAAGAACACAGAGAGGAATAAATGCATTAAGGCAGACGTTAAGGGAGAGAACTGCTTTTTAATTCAGTTTGGCTAATGATTAGCATCCTAAAGGTGCATTCGCACTGACAGTCATTAAATTGATGGAGGTCACCGAGCCACTGTACTATACATTTCTAGGTTGACTGTTGAATCAGACAGTTGATCACTGTCTGCGCTCCCATTGGCAGTTGACACATCACATCACTGCTCATTTGAGTAAAGAATGCTCACTGTCACTCATTTCAGTGAAAATCAGCAATTCTCTGTCAGGTTTTATTTGAATGTTTCCTAGTTAGAGTGCAGTTACACTAATAAGCACTGAGTAATATTAATAAGCAATCTCTGTCAGTGTGAACAAAAGTGCTGTAATGTACTGTAGTCGTGTTTTGTATAATATTAGTTACACCTTTTCACAAGTGATTAGTACTTTTTATCTTTAAAAAGTAAGTATTATTAGGGAGGCCTATTAGGGTGCATTACTGGTATCAATATCAGCTTGATGTGTTGAAATTTGAGTTTTGACTAAGATCTGTCAGCTCTAGTCACTACATATGCATCTGTAGACTGATGATGATTAGTGTACACTGGATTTGAATGTACAGATTAGACTTGAACTGAACTTGTTGATACCTGTCTGAGGGAATGACTCATTATCTTAGTATTAAGCCTATTTGCAGCTGTTTGAACTAGCCATTTTGCAAATGTAATCGGCAGATAGAGCAATCAGCCAGTTATATTCGTGCCACACTTAAATAAAATAAGCTTAAGGGAATCAAAAGAGGATTTACATTAGTATTAGGGTAATTTTAGGTCTGGAAGTATAAAGATACGTCTCCTGATTTTTGTATATCAAATCATGTTAGTGGTTAGGTTACATGTAAGAAAAGTAGTATTTATACTTGCGTTTATCTGTTCACTCTATCAAAACAGCAAGCAGTCAAAGGTAAAATGTGCATTTATTGCCATTTAATCACCAATAAATAAATAATACTAATTGCAATAGTTCAGTCTCTACAAGCACATTAATATTGCGTCTACAAGGCTGTCTAAATGATTCTGGGTGTGCTGTGACAGACTTTATTATTATAATTATTATTATTTTCATTTTATTATATAATACATTTATTTTATATTTGTATTTTTACTTTAAACCTGTTATTAATGTCCACCGTGTATATATATATATATATATATATATATATATATATATAT